TAAAACCCAGCCAAGACAGGTCACTTTGTAAAGACTAAAGGTCAGTTTTATATTATTCAATACAGTAACATGAATGCACATGTGCCGCATCATTGTAACTTCTGTAGTGTTAGCCTGGAATAGCTGAAAGGTCAATATAATAAAAATAATAGATATATATAAATATATAATGTTATGAGATTTAGGCTATTTAGTCTAAACATTTATGTTTCTGTGTTATAATTTGTTGTCATTCTAAAACAAAAGAGGCATAATTTATATTTATTACCTAATTTTTCCTGGTGGTTATGAGATCGGTCAAATCTACCAAAGCCATAAATATAATTGTTACTGAAAATAACAGATAAAATATAGTTTTTTCTTAAAAAACATTTGAAAATTTTCTGATGCATAAAAGTATATTTAATCTTAAAATTAAAATTACTTTGCATGTTGGATAGGCAACATGTGAAATGAAAAAAAAGGCAAGAGAAAATCACTGCTTTACAAACCTTAAGACTTAATAAAACAAATTGATATTTTGCATATGAAAGCATTGTAATGTTTACTGATAATCTGCCAAATTTTCTTAACATACATTTACTAATTAAAAGTTATAGCATGAAAACTATAACAAGCACAAAACGGTTACAAGGTCGATCCCAGAACCGAGCCCGTACTGAAAGAGTTAAATTAATGATGAGTTTACATGAGTCATTTACACGTCAGAATTTGGGTGATATATCATTTTGTGAAAATAACTTGAAATCAAATTCATTTGAAATAAATGTAAAAATATTTTTTACAAACACAGACAAGAAGTAAATTCTGAAATACTGTCAAACATTAAGGACATTTAATAGGACTGAGAGAAGTGCAATACGTATTATGAAATGAAAACGTATTATAATACAATTTATTATAGACAAAGACATTTAAAGAATGCATTAGTATGTAATAAAAAATATTTTCTGAATCTGTGTGGATATACAACAAATAAAACCAAAAAAATAATCTAAAAATTCACATATTAACACTTTTGTTATGGGCATCTTTTTCTGTGCATGTCATGAGGTTTTAGTGAATTGAATTCAAAATTTAACTACTTTTTTACCATGGTAAACAAATATATATAGCATTCAAACATAGCTAATATTTCATATTTTAGGAGCTACAAGTTTTAACTTCTTAATTTTACAAGGCAATATTAAAAATATACTGAATTTCCTCTAGTTTGAGAAACATGACATTTTCTTTCTAGGCATCTCTCTTCTTTAATTTATTTACCACACCTCCAAGAAGTATGAAATTTAAGATAAATTACTCACTATTATGATGTCATCACTCAGACAAAGCATAATTTCATAGCTTTTAATTATATTTAGTTACAGAGCCATAAAATATAAAATAAGACCCCTCTTGCTACACCCACCTGTCACATCCTCTTTTTCAGAAATTGCCAACAGTTCTTTCTGACATTTAATACTATATCCCTTCGAGTTTTTGGCAAAAGATGGAAGCACCAGTGTCAGTGGGGAGGAAGGGTGGGAAGTGTAAGTGGAGATAAGTACCTATTGGAAATACATTCTCAGAGTAGGGAAATTATAATTTCCAATACGGTACATTACCTCACATAAATAGATAGAATCCCGCAATGAATGGATGGAGGGACCAGTGCAAAGGAAATAAAGAAGCATCCCACAAAAACATCAGAAGGACACTACCTAAGCTGAAACAGTCAGATTCAAAGATCTGATGTGGAGAACCACACCACATCAGAACCAGGTATACTTCTCGCCCATCATAGAAAGATGTTGCATACACGGGTGGAAAACAGAGGAGCACATCCAAATGGGAGAGAACTATGGCTGGAAAGTGATCCAAACCATGCAACAGACCATGAAACTTAATCCCAGAAAGTATAAAAGAAGGTAAATTGAAAAGAATGTGCCCCTAGGTGTAGAGTGTCTTGGGTGTGACAGGCCTGTACACAGTAAGTCAACTACATCCAAAACCCATGCCACCGGGAACTGACATACACATGGGGGTAGGATGAGGATCATACCATCTGTAAATCAACTACAATCCAAAACTCTTCCACCATATACAGACATCCATATGGGGGTAGTAAAGAGGATCATACCACCAGCAAGTTGACTACAATCCAAAACTCACACCACAAGGAACTGACAACCCTGTGGGAGTAGGAAAGAAGATCATACTGGTGGCATGTCAACTACAATCCAAAACCCAGCCATCTGGTGGGGGTATGAAAGAGGATCATGCCATCTTCACCTCAAGTTCATGAGACCAGAGGGAATCTAATACCCCAACTCATGAACAAGTACACGTGAATATGATAAATTGATAGATCGGTCCGGAAACCCAATATCCAGTATCGTATAGGTGTCTGCATAACATGAACCATCTCCCTCAAATGTGAAATTAACTGGAACCACCCCAAGTGCAGTAATATCATCAGAAAAGAATATCGAGGGATAGTGGAAGTGAAAGAACCATAACAATCCCCAATTTCCTCCACCGTGACCCACAAAACTGATGGAGTATAAAAGAGGGAGAAATATAGACATCTGTAATACACGTGTGAGGACTTCTGTTGATTGGTTCTACTCTAAATCCAAAACCCGGCTACTGGGAATTGACATCCATATGGGGATAGGATGAGGAATCCCAATCGAAGGGGTGAACTGCAATTTGATATCTCATTTACATTTGTTTTTATGTATCATAGTGCAGGACATTACATCATCTACACCAGCAAAACACCACCACCCTACTCTTAACTAAATGGTTTTATAACCATTTCTATATTTTGTATGTATTTCATTAACCCATTCTGGAGGATGCCTCGATAGTCCACCACTCCAGCAGCTTGGAACTGGAAAGTGGTAAGAACTCAAATTCCACTAGAAGAAAAGGGGGTAAAATGCGGCAGAGAGTTCATAGGAATGTCAACAGCTGAGACAGTGCAATAGGTGACCATGAAACCCTATTTTTAAAAGCAGACCATACCAATTCATTCAATACAAGGCATGGCAAGAATAGGCAGCTATCTCCCTTCTGCCTACCCACATAGTCCATGGGTTGGTATAGTCTGGAACTTATGAAGCAATTCTATTGCAAGGATAAACCTACAAGCAATCTTGTGGAACACCCCATTTCTGCAGTGTGCATTTCATGGCCATGGAATTATAATATGCAAGTTGACAGGGCTTGACAGTCAGATTTGAAAGGTTAAAGAATACCTGGTCAGGCACCACTTGCCACAGAGCAGGATTCAAACAAAGAGTAATAAGAGAGAATTTAGCCAGTTAAAATCTCACTAAAGTCTGAAGAATGGCTATAGGTGGAAAACAAGCCTGAAGAGGAAGAAACCGTGATCCTATGCAAATAAGGAGAGATGAACATATTAGGAGTAGTCCACATGTCCGATTAAAGAATTCCCTCCAATGAACAACGATATGAGATGCCAGAGAAAAGGAAAGGTGTCGAATTTGATGAGAAGACACCTGGAACAAAGTACAGGAGGAAGACAATAAAGAGGAATAAGCCAATTGAATCAAAATATGAACCCAACTGTTAAGGGTGGAAGGAGAAAGATCACAATCAGAGGAAGACTGCCAAGGAATAAAGAGGCAGGAACGGGTACCACGGAAAGAAGCCATGTGGGCAACATAACAGCGAAGAGCACGTACAGGACATAGAAGTCTCTCCGGATCAGACCTAGGATAAAGGTGTGAAATGGCTGCCGAAGTTTTGGGAGGAAAGAACGATCCGGATAAAGTACAATATATGTAGGATGATAAAGAGTATGTGAAACATCGATGGCAAACAAGTCAGATCAGCGACACCCACAGGCTAAGAGGAGAAGGAAATAAGTCTTAAGGGAAAGGTGAAACAAGGAGCATGTAAAAAATGGTTTGAATGGAGGCAAACTGAAGCAGTGAAGTATGACATTAACATCCCAGTTGGAAGGGTAGCCCACTGCGATGGAGGAGGAATTCAGAAGGAACACATCAACAGGGAAAGGGTAAGAGAGGTAAATACCCTACTGTATTGGGAAAAGGAATGGTGTGGGACAAAGCCACCAGATAACCCAAGATTAAGAAGACAGAAGACCCTCGACTGAAAAGCCAAGTAAGAAATTTTGCAATACAAGAAACAGTGGGTCAGTCAGAAGAAAACATTCCATTTACATTGATAAGCTTCCAATGGAGGAGGGGTAACTGGAATGAGCCAGAAATGAAGCTATTTGTCGGAACAAGCCAGATCTCCTTGCCAAGGACCAGATAAAAATGAAGCATGAAAATGGAAGACAAAGCGCTGGATGAAGCACCAGTGACCAAGGTTGATGAAGAAAGAAAGGTGACAGATGAAGAGGTAACAGAGGGGTAAGTTGGAGCTGAAGAAGTTGCAGAAACAACTGCTGAGCTGGCTAATAAGGAGCAATCAGAAGGACTTGACATGAAGTGGTATGGATGATCGAAATAACCCGGTGAAGAAGTCAGATGGTAGGATAAACATATAGGTATTTGTTGGTCCAATCCTGGCTGAAAGCATTGACAGCCAGGGCAAGAGAATGAGGATCCGGAGACCAAAACAGAGGGAATTTGTGGTTGAGGGATGTGGCAAAAGTATCTACGTGAGGAATACCACACTGAAGGCAAAGCCACTGGAAAACATGAGAATCAAGAGATCATTCCATTGAATAGATTTTGTCTGGGCAGGAAAGCCAATCCACAACAATATTGAAAGCATCTGGAACATGACATGCACTGATGATTGAGATAAGCAACCACTATAGAAGTGTCGGAATGGATCATTACCAGACACTTTCTGTCCAGATGGAGAAAATGAACCAAAGCTATGCTACAGCGAAAAGCTCCAAGTTGTTGATATGATAAGACTTCTGGGCTGCAGACCAATACCATGATGCTTCATGTTGATTGACCCAAGCTTCTCATCCCTGAATGTATGTATCCATTTCATGTGTAAATCTGGACGAGGAGGAGGAACTGGGACACCAGTTGACGTGCGAGTCTTGTCCAACAACCATTGCAGATTGTCCACAAGAGTAGGAGGAAGCGTAATATGAGCCAGCAAAGGATTCCATGCAAGATTCCACTGGTCATGAAGAGCCCACACATGAGCACAACTGAAGTGGATAATTGTTGGTAAATCCAATGATGGGTCACCACCACCTGCAGCCAGTAAAAGAGTGATTGTAGGAGGTATGACCTGAAGTGGTAACATGAACCTCAGAATTCATTTCAGAAATATGATTCTATGTTTGATAGCCAAATGCAAATGTGAGAGAAAAAAAAACAGGGAAATTAAGTTAAAGTAAAAGGCATCTTCAATATAAAGTAAAAAAATTAATGAAGTAATCTCATTTTGGAATTGAAACTATTAAATTCATGAGTGAAAAGCACACGAAAAGCACCAAAAGCAAAAAATGTCTGAATGCTAGCACTGTCAAACAAGAAGTAATAGTTATATAGAATGGATCAGAGGGAATCTTATACATCATGAGAGTATGTCGCACTCCTATTGGTGGAGAGTTGACGCATGATGATTTGCATGAGAGACGCATTGGAATCAGTCAATTTCAATGCAGGGGAGATAAAAGGCCTGTGGCAAGCATAAACAAATTTTTTGAAAATAGAGGGGAGCACTGAACGAGAATAGCTATTTATGTGAGAAGAGGTAATGTACCATATGGGAATATAAAGTTTTACTGACAAAAAAACGTTTGAAATTTAGTTAGGATGTTTTAGAGTGAAATTTGAGATTTTTCAAATGAAGAAAAGTATTTATCATCTTAACATGATAATCACTTTGCACTCAACGCAGTCAACATGGAGATATCTTTATTGAAAATACTTCAGTAACAATTTAGATTTTTTGTCTACAAATGACTCTTAATGATTAATGAAAGCTTGCAAAACATTAACCAAATCATATAATTTAAAACATATATATACATACTCTGCTATATGCACTCCAAGCAGAATGGCATCATTCATGCTCAATGTCTTTGGTCGATCCAAGGAAAGTTTAATTCGTCTCTCACTACCTCCTGGTGTTGCTGGAATTTCCACCAGCTGAATGCTATGAGGCTGTTTTCCAAAAGGAGATCGTCCTGAGAGTGGCTGCATGTGTCTTTTGTAACATGACCCACTAAATCATATGAATTTCCAATTATCTTAAAACACTACCCAATTAACAATAATTAATAAATTAGATAATCGTAAAATCTCTCTCAATTTATAAAAAACTGTTTATAAAAATTTTAAGTTTACAAAATGCATGATATATTTTCTTGGAAAAGCAACAGAATTACTAATAAACTCTTTTACTTTCTATAACCAAATAATTACAAAATTTAATAAGAGGTTTCAAAAATACTTCATACATTTTAAATTTTACACGTAGCTCTTAAGCATCATCAGAGGATATTTTTTGTCATAAGCTGACAAAACAGCTGTGACAGATATTTTTGCCAAAAACATCTATCATCTACATTTTCTTTGATATTTCTTATGTATATTTTTGAAATGAGCATAATAAAATTTAAACTGCTCACCAATACAGTTTGGATCTCTCCACCAGGGCATATGATTCCCCATCTCCAATGAAACTACCGCAGCTAGTGCATTTAAAGCATTCAGGGTGAAACTTGTGATCACCAGCAACCTGGAAGAAATATTTCATGATGTGTACATTTTTATATTTTGTTACCACTAAATTATGAAAATGTTGACAAAGTAACTTAAAACATTACTGAGTTTCACAGGAATCTAATTATTTAGTATATAGTTGAAATCTTGGAAAGAAAAATTGAGGACTTTGATTAAAGTAAATAAAAATGTTTTATAAAAGTATTTGTGGGCAGAAATAAGAAGTAAATTCACAGAAGGTTATGCAAATAATGTGACATACTATGATCAACGTCAAAACAAAAAAATACTGTGCATCAGCAACAGATAACATTATAAACAGCATTTATATAACATTATATATTACCTTTTTTTAAATTTAAATTACAGTTCCTTTATATATTAGAGGCTTGTTTTCTTAAACTAAAAAAAAAAAAATGACCTTTATTTAAACTTTATTTTATAATGATGGGGTTAGGTCTAATGATAGTTGGAGGGTACCAAATGTTTTTATAACTTCAGGTTTTCAAACACAAAGAAACTTCCAAATATTATACACAACTATGTTACATTTTAACAATATCTAATTGGTGAATGGAATATAATTTCTTAATCTTCTATGTTTCTGATAAACCACAACAAGTACACACATGACAAGCTGTGATACCAATAGAAGATGCTAAAGAACATAATAATAATGCAAGTTTCAAACCAGAGGTAGTAGTTCGTATTTCAACAAAAAACTAAATTCCTTCTATTTTTTCCTTCCTGCAATGGAAATGCTTAATTGCATGAAGCTTAGGAAAAACTTAATACAAACTATTTAGTTTCGGCTTTAGAAACTTCATATAATGTTCATTGTCTGAACACACAAGTTACTATTTAATAAATAAGGATTTGAATCACTTATAAGTCACTGGAACATTTTACCATCAACTACCATACTCTTTAAACCTAAAAAAAGTTTAAGTGATGATAGAACTGAAGAAAATTTCTGTAGTTTTCAAATGAGTGTAATTTAAACCTGAAAATATGTTCCAGAATGAAAAAACTCTAAAGAAACCATCAAATAATTCCCAGCTCTGTGATTTGTTCCCGAGTTCTCTAAAATACCCACTAAAATCGTCTGTTCTTCTCTGCCTAATCACTTTCCTACAAAACCATAAATGGTTTCTCATGCCATTTTATTCATTCTACCTTGATGAAAATATCTTATAATATGTTCTATATAATGGTATTTAAACTTTATCTGTATCTATGTTCAAAGCTGAGCTACATTTATAGTTGTAATCATAATAAGGCATAAAAAGAGAGGCTATTATTTTTAATTCAGTTCTATGTAAGTTGCTTGCTTTGATCAGTTATAGATTATTACTTTTATGTGATGTATTTCATCAATTCTGCACATGTGGCACTCAGGAACTTGTAAGGATTACTTACATTCAAAATTAAGATATGTTTCTTTGGCAGATTATGATGTTCAAATCAAATCTCTGTTTAACTTCAGAATAATTTGAAATGCAAATTGTACACTTGTTGCTCCTATTTTTTTCTGAAGTAACTTGAATGTTCAATAATTAATTTAGATGTTGAATCTATCATGTATAACTACATGTAGTAGCATGCGTGGAATGTACAAGAATGAAATTGGTGTTGAATGACACTATTTTGAGATTAACGAGTCACTGATCATGGTAGAGTTGAAACTATTTTTACTGAAACTTATCACAATGGACTTAGAATGATATTTATACAGGACTTTCTTGATATATATTCCTGCATAATAGTATTGATTCTTTTCTTTAACTGAAAAAAACAATACAAGCATAACATGTTCATAGCAAGTAAAACTAAGTATCAAATCAGTTCTTTAAGATAACCAATGGCAAAAAAAAAGTTAAATTCAATTATTCCTGTCATTTTTGTATTAGTTCTGAGCAGTATTATCATATCTGTAATAGGTCACTTATCCATGACTTTGTGACAAGCTTACCATAACAGGCCCTGTGATAATTTCTCCACAGTTCTGACAAGCTTCTCCATATTTAGCCCAGTAATCATTTTTGCAAAACAACAATCCATCCTTTTCAAAATACCAGTTACTGAGAGGAATATCACAGACAGAGCACCTGCACAGAATAAATATTTCAAGTTACTATTTTTTATATAAATTCAGAAATATCAAAAAAGTACAGATTACATAGTCTAAATTATTATAGATACTAAAAATTATTTTCATATTCATACATATTTTGGAATAAATTATGAAACAATCCCAACATATTTTTTTTCCATTTTTCTTCTTGCAAATGTAAAATGATGAATGTATTATTGAGATCATATGAAGAAATACCACAAGAAATAGAAATTAACTACTATCAGTGTTGTAGTCAAGACCTCAGTGCCTGAGGCCAAGACCTGAGGGTTTGAGACCAAAACCCTGTAATAAATTACAAAATGAAAAATAAAACAAGAATAAATTCACATGTGTCAAACAAACGTTATTAGCATCTTAACCACAAATCTTTTACACGTTAACCCCACAGTCTTTGTTTTAACGTCTCCTCCTATGAAAAAATATATAAAATGAAAGAATTTACTGACACCATAAACTCTTGAAAAACAACAAGTTTTTCTTTTGTTTTATTTGCTGACCTTTATCATCTTTGAAGCCAAACAGGATCACATCAGATCTACTAGACATGTTGAATATCTTGGATATTCTCTAACACTTAACGTAAATACGTGCACCAGATGAAGATCATACAAACTTGTAGCAAGCCTATGCTTAATGCAATGTATAGTAGCAATTATTTTTTAATAGTGCATGTTATAACTGTGGATTGATGTACAGGTATATGGCAGTTGGTGACATAATCAAAAATAAGGAAGGCATTATAAACATCATTGCAAAGGTGTAGTACAAACTACCAAGGGGTTATACTAGTAAAACATCTTTGATTCTATACTGCACCTTGCATGAACCACTGCGTAATTGATATTTAGCATATGATAATCCTGGGTAGGTCTAAATACAGGTAAAACTTTTAAATTTAGCCAATCTCATTTTTTGAGACCTGTAAAACATCAAGATCCAAATGGTCCAAGACTGAGATCTACAACACTGACTACCATATGTTTTGTGTTTTACACTTTAATACTCCATTTTTTAAACAAAAACCACTAATATGTTTATATTACCAGTCTGTTAATTAACAGTCAACTTAGTTAAATTTCCAGTGGTTATTACAATCAAGTTGTTGGAGACCAGTTAGAGGTATAAAGATGACCAGTTTTATTATGTATACCTTTTCCATTATTTTATTTTTTTCTAATGTAAAATAGATTTTCTGAAGTTCTTTTGCTCAAAGTAAACTGAGTTTTACAGATTTAACTCACAACTCATCTTGAATTTATGTTCAAATTTTATAGCTACAATTGCATAAGCATAATTTTAATCTCCATTCAAAGAATTTTTGCAAGTGTGCAGTCAATAGGATTCTCAAAAACACTTAAAAGGTAAGTAAACTGCATTTGAAATAGCAAATGATTAACATAGGCAACAGGGAAAACAAATAGGGTATCATCTTAATACAATCAAACTATGCTGTTGAAAGAGCTTATATCATACATAAATTCTTGTTTTAACTAAGTTGTTTTTGTAATCTTGAAGCAATAATACAAAAATTGAATTATGTAAACTACCAATTAACACTTCTCCTGAAACCTCCAAATATCCTGTTGAAAATAAAGTGCAAATTAATAAACACTACCTTTATACCTTCCCTATGTTACTAATATCAAACCTGGACTCTTAATAAAAATTAAGAATGCAAAATCATTACTTGCGAAATGAAATGCTTATGGAAAGCTTCAACATAACTAGAAGAAACAAGATAAGAAATGTAGAGGTCAAAGAAATGGTTCAAACAGCCACAACCAGCAAACACCTTGAAAAGCAAAGTGAGAATGCAGCCCAACCAACCAGCAGTAAGAGCATATAATATGAAAATAACAGGGTTCAAAGCAAGAGGGTGATTCAGGAAGAGAAAGATCGACAACATGACAGAGACTGAAAAACCACAGCTTTATACTGACACAGGCCTCTCATCTTGCTTTGGAACAGAAACTATCTCCCTGCAATGCCTCTTAGCAGATTCAAAAGGAAAAAGTAAAGTTCTTGTAATCTGAATTAATTTTTTATGCAGCATTGCTGCAGAATAAACACACCCTGAAAAAGTATCTTTTATAACTAAACTTTTTCAAGTTTGGTTTAGAACTTGTTGGTTTTTTATTTCTGCTCAGACAATGTTTCAGGCTACTTTAAGAATAACTCAGCACAGAGGAAAATGGCATATTTTCATAAACATTTCCATTAACAAATCTTATTGAGCTTTCTAACTTTCACCGAGTCCATCATCAGGTATCAGAATTTAGCATCAAAAAGTCTACATGACAAATACTGATGACTTTCTATCTTACTCATAATAATATCTGATTATGGAGTCAGTGGAAATCCAAATGCTCAAAAAAGTTTAAATATAAAAAATAAATTAAGACTGATGCTACAGCTGAATGAAATTAATTTAGTAATCAATTTACTGTTGCAATTATGATGACAGTCACCTGTATCTATCCTGAGAGCCATAAAAAGCAATGTCAGCAATAAATTTAAGCACTTATGACTAAAAAGACCATATTGTTATAAATAACACTATAAAAATAACATAAATAACTGAATAGTCTAATAAAGCAAGAATTTATAAAAAGAAGAAATGCAAATTTTTTAAAATATTATGAATTATATTTAATTTATAAATTGAATCAACATATTATTTAAAAAAGAAACAAAGCTTTAGTACTTTCTTTACTTAATGTGGGATTAAATGCCTCAAAAATAAATTAAAAACAATCATAATGCCATTAAATAAAAAACAGATGTGACTAAAAATGCCTCACTGGAACTTTATTTTACGTTAATATATTAATTAAGGAAAAACTTGTGATTTTAGCCAAAATATATTTATTTCCCAAAGAAAAAATTGGAATATGAATATCCTAATTGTTATTTTTTGTTTCATAGATAGAGAAGCATCCTCTGATGGGTTAGTGGTAGGTTTACAAACAACACTAAAATCTCTGGTTTGATTCCCCATAGTACACTGATTATGGCTAGCCCATTATGTAGCTTCATGCTAAAACAACAACAATCATAGAGAAGCAAAAAGTAACCATGTAGAAAATAAGACAGAACCAGTTTTGTTTTGTTTTTTTTACTAGAAAAGACTGTTATTCTTATGTTATTTTAATTCTGAAAGGAATACAGTTGGAAATATTGTATAAGAGATCTTGAGAGTTGCACAACTGTTTCTCTATAATTTAAATAAACTACTTTTAAAGCTACCAAGTGTCATTTTCAAGATTTTAGGAAAATCAACTTTCAGAAAATGTACATATGGTTAAAAAAGGAACTGGTGGCTGATCTAAATGAACAAAAATACAAAATATAATCAATATATAAAAAAAAAAATATATTTCTTACAGAGCCTCACATTCAAAGAAAAAGGAAATTCCTATATTGTTAAGGACAGGAACTAAACTATGAATTAAAAAAAATCAACTTTAAGTTCATGAAACTTACAGGTACAATGGAAGATACTAAGGTTTATCAACGTAAAAAGTTTATAAAATTACAATTAATTTAAAGAAAGGTGTAAAACGCTTAATGACTCAAAACACCTGACACTGTAACTTTTAAAACGTTTCTAAGTATATATATATTATCTGATAAGAAAAACATTTATGAAAGATTTATTCACATAAGCACAAAAGAAACTAAAGAAAATTACCTGATTCCAATACTACAGTGGCATAGAGAAAGAAATTATTTATAATTAGATACAGATATTCATATGTGATATACATTACTACTACTACTAATATTATTACTATTAATATTAGTATTATTAGCAGTATTACTATGCATTAAAACACAATTAAACTATTAACAGAAACACTACCGAATGAAAATTGACTGGTGAAAACTAGGTTAACATTTATGTTCCACAATACTTTAAGTAATTATATGAATGGAAATAAAGAATATGTTTACCCTATAGTATTAATTATTATAAGACTGAGAATGACTAACCTGAAGCAATCGTTATGCCAATCGCTGTTTAACGCCTGAATATACTCATCATCATCAATAACATTTAAACAGCCAGCACAAACCATAAGGGCATCATCTGAAAAATTCACACAAAATATTTTTTTTTTATTTAATTTCGCCTAATATATTTCGTGAGCAATAAAGTATCGTTAATATGTTAAAAATTCGATAAATTGTAATGGTTGTTTCTCTATCATACCTGATGCCTCCTCCATGGTTCTTCATAGCGTTAGTCTTTTACCACATACATTATACGCATGCTCAGAAACCAGTGACATTGATAAAATAAAATCACCAGAGGGCGAAATGAAATATTACAGATATTTTTTTTTCTTTCTTTTCTTAAATTTAAGTTAAAGTATTTTTATTGGCTTTTGTTTGTTTATTTGCTTGGAGTTAAGCACACAGCTACACAATGGGCTATCTGTGCTCTGCCAACCACGGGTATTGAAACCCGGTTTCTAGCGTTGTAAGTCCACAGACATGCCGTTGTGCCACTGGGGGGCTTTTATTGGCATTAACGAGATAAAATATACTGTTTTTGACTTCTTGCAACTAGAAAATAATAGTTTATTTCATACGTCTCAAAATTAAAATTCCATAAAGGAGGTGATTATTCCAGTAGTTTAAACTAAACATATTTTTGTCGAGTACGTGCCCCAAAAACAATCTGAAAAAGAACCAACTGTGAATTGAGCAGAATTCTAAATTGTGACTTTGCTTACGAAGAAGATGCTTTGGCTAAGTTAAAGATCTATTGAATGTCATCAGTGTCGGTTTTCACATTAAAGGACATTGTATCACTCTTAGATATTTCTAAATATTATGCAATTGAATCGTCTTGATATAAAAATGTTGGCATATATATAAATATTGTTGTAAGCTATTGTTGCTTTCTGGAAATATCTTGTACCTTCGTGAATTGTCGGGAGATTACTAGATATAGGGTACTCTGGTATATATAAGAGGGTGACAACGTGACGGCACAACAATGTGTGTGTAGACAGTGAGTAATTGATCTGCAGTCAGAGAGTATTATTGAGCACGTTCGTTGTTATCGCGTTTGTCTTAGCGTAATTGTTGAAATTAAGTGTATGGTAAAGTTATATTCGGAAAGAATAAACCAGTTTTATTAAGTAAGGACTTGTGTCGCTAAAGTTTCGTCGGAGTTACGGAAAGTTAATTAACAAACGGAGACGTAACACTATATTTTCATTGTTTTAAATGCCCCCATTGGCACAGCGGTATGTCTGCGGACTTTCAACGCTAGAATCCGGGTTTCGGTACCCGTGGTGGGCAGAGCACAGATAGCCCATTGTGTAGCTTTGTGCTTAATTACAAACAAACAAACATTGTTTTAATTTAGATGTTCGCCAGAGAACGCATGACATTAAGATCAAGTAAGTCCATAAAAGTAGTCTTACAATATCTAGAAATTTCGAGAAAAGATCAAGAATCTAGTATATTCGACTAATACCTAGACATGGGTACATTAGTCATAAATACAAGTAAGCAGTGAGTTGGTCAGGTGAAGTATTCATTCTAGAAGTGAATGAAAATTCACAATTTAAAGAATTATTAAGTATACACAAAACTCAGTAGACAGCATTCATATATTAAAACTAATACAACGTTGAGAATACCTAATACAGGCTGTAATAATACTAGCAGGCATGTTTTTGCAAGATCAAACAAAAAACGACTGAAACTCTGTTTTCAAATTTCAAGCATCCCACAAGAGGAGTGAAATGCACCAACTAATAATTTGTTGTATGCTTGTATGTTTGTTTGTAATTAAGCACAAAGCTACACAATGGGCTATCTTTACTCTGCCCACCACGGGTATCGAAACACGAATTCTAGCATTGTAATTATGCAGACACACTACTGTGTTACTGGGGGTTAACAGTATGCTAAATATAATGTAATTTAAGACAGTTTATTGTTCCAGAAAAAACGTTCATAGAAATAAGATTAATAAACAACTTTGTAAAACAGAAGCACTGGGTGTAATTTTCATGTGTCTTCCTAAACTGTGATACTGTATAGTGTTATCATATATAACTTGTTTTTCATTAATAGAAGACGTTTAATCAAAATTATATTCATAATACCTTTTGTGAAAGTACTTATTTAGAACAGCAATTCTAAAACAGTTTAAAATAATAATAAAAGTGGGTCTTGTTTTTTTAACATTGCATTAATGAATTCATCATTTCTTTCAATAGATATGATTTGTACATTTTTCTGGTATACGAAACAATATTGTATGTTGTTCTTTTAGACCACGAAAGTTGACCATAAACTTAGAAGTAATGGTGATAGTTCTGAAGCAACTTGAAATTTTCGAGGAAATTTCATCAATTGCTTCAAGAGTTTTGAAGTGTTTAGGAGAAAACTTAAAGGTTGTTAACGAAGTATTTCGAAGGTCTCACCAGCTGCTTCAAGAGCTTTAAGTATTTAAAAGTACTCAGAGTAAGTATTTAAACGTTTTAACGAAGTCATTTAAAGATTTCATCAATTGTTTCAATAGCTGTGGATATTTAAAAATACTTAGAATAAAAGCTTAAGAGTTTCAATACAAGCAAGCAAGTTAATATAGATATAAAAAGAAAAGGGAGGCGACAATGGGACGCCTCTGTTATGAAATAAGCCTTGAGAAATTAATAAACAAGAACTTGGTTATACAAGAGGCAACATTCAGAAGTAAGCAGTACAACACGTGCATTACTTAAAATAAGCTTGAGAGGCGAGCCTGGGAATCGGTGACCCAGGGTCAATAGCAGAGTTAGTAAGAACTATTGCATCACAAACAGGATGTGAACACCAATACATGTGACAGTTTGATGAAGTGTTGGACTCACTCTCTTAGCACTATGGAAGCTACAGAAAAGTTTATATTTAGTGAATCATCTCGGTGCTTTGAAGCAGTATTATTTACAGTACATGGGTGTAGCAGCACAAGTGAATAGGCGGCCGGCTAACACCACTTATCTATGACCAATAACTTGAGAGTTTTGGTTTAGGTTCTGGATTAGCCTGGGAATTGCCCTAAAGTATCCAATAGGAGCACAGAACTACTTGTGGGTGATGCTGTGTCCTATTTGGTGGGGTCGCACTAACACTAGGAATGAGAGTTTAAAAACCCATGTCAGAGGCTGATAAATCAGTTCTCCAGACAGCAAAAGCTCTCCACCAGTTCCCCAGCAGTTCTCTCTAAGAAGAAAATGAAGCTGAAGTTTTCCAATTTGGCTATAGCCTCCAAAACTCCAACTCTACTGTAAGTATAGTCTCTCTCTCTCTCTCTCTCTCTTGATCAGCTAGTGTAAGAAGTATCAAGTTTAAATAGTAAAGTTTTATCAGTAATGTTTTGATAATTTGTATGTTAACTGTGTAATGGTTTTATAACAAGTAATTGATGTTAATAAATATTATTTTTGAGTGTATACTGTTGGTCTGAGACTCATATTCTTTAGTCTAACTGTAAACTCCTCGAGTTAGTGACGTGTGGCTCCACTCGTCTCAACAAATCCTCCAATAAATAAATTTGGTGTAAAGATTGGTTTTAATTGAAACTCCAGCAATTAAGCTCACCTGAGCGCTAACCTTTACAGTTCTGATCTGTCTAAAATCTGATCTAAAATAGTTTACACAAAATGGTGTGCTATATTCATGCATTATACTGTGAGGAGATTTTACTTCCAATAGTGTTGTCATTAATTATTTCGTCAGATGTGACAAGCAAATATGGGTACGTTGTGTTAAAAGATATTCAAAATTTCTTTGGTTTTATACATAGCTAATACCATACTTTCATACAGTCCTGTAGAAAATGTTTAGATACTGTTCTACATTGATGTTATTGAGTAAATTCCCGAGTGGTGTGTTCCCTATGGGAAAGACAGACTTCTCTCATCTGTTCTTTAGGCAAAGTATGAACACAAATACTACCATCAGCTTTAACAAGCTAGAAACAGGACTCTAAAAAGATGACTTGTTGTCCGTGTCTAAACTGTTAGTTGGCATACTTTTTTGCCCAAGTAACATGGTGATAGCAGTGAGTTGTGGTTAATATCAGTTTATAGATAGCCCTTCTTGCAAAATAACTTTGTGTGGTTAGTCTCCTATTAATTGTTCTTCTGTGTACCCTGAAATGAATGTGTTCAAGCCATTCCTGTTCTAAGGTGTTGCAAGACTTCTTTCGACCATGATGTGTTAACCTGATCAAAACAGAGTCATCTCAGACAATAGATTTTTGGCATCTGTCAGTAGACTTCCTGGAACAACGTTTCTTGTACTGCAATTACATTTCAGGATTCTGGATAAAGTGCACTGGAAGTACTCTACTGTTCTGGCAATGTCTATTTGCTTCATACCATTTCTGGATCGTCGAACAATTTGATACCCCTATGACTTCTGGCACGTGATGAGGTATGACACAACACCAAGTAAAGCGAAATTGTCTAACCAAAGCATTGATCTGTTTCGAAAAATATTATACTAAAGGCACACCCTTTTATACAAAACTGGTTTGTATGTGTGTTTTGATGAACAAATGCTCAAAACAACTTATACAGACCAGAATAACAACTTGTACATATTTGTACTACTCGAGCATTTACTCAATAACTACTCTATTCATGTAGACAATGACATCAGTATAGAACAGTATGTGAAAATTTTGGCCGAGAATATATATATAATTTGGCAGTTTTAAGATAACACTGTTAAGTTACTTATTATTTACTTTACAATATCAAAGCTTTCTGATCTACTACGATATTTCTTGCTTTGTAGAAGAATAAAAATGAATTCTACCAATTTACCAAATTATTTTTTTAAACTTATAATTTTGTTCCTTGTTTCCTTCATTCTTCTCTCAATTGGGGTAATGTATACTTCTCATATTTTGCCATTTTCTTTTTGTCAAGTTCGATGAAGATGACTTTCAAAACACCACTGGAGCAAAGTATAAGCCTAGAATGATCCAGTTGCATGTCAGAGTTATTTAACAGGATAATTTTAAACCTACCCCATTCATAAAAGTTAGTAAGTAATTAGGATTAGTCATTGATATTTATACCCCAGGGCTACAAGTTGATATTAAAGAGTTTATTCCAAAGCTCCAAACACATCTGCTAACAAGGCTGAGTCAATGTTCTGTCCCTGATCTGAATCCCACTGTGGCCAGTACATCTTTATCTTTGGGCTGTATAGAAAGACTGCTTACCAGGAGGGTTTTTCACAC